CCATGTGTGTTTTTTCCCGCCACGGCTCCATTATTAAATCGGCGCGTTAAATCCCTGTTTAGGGCGGCGAGGGGGAAGCAAAGCGGGGGAGGCAGTCTGCTGATAGCGAAGCGGGCTCGGGGCCGCGCGGGCCGCTCTGCACCGCGGTCATGCGCTCATGCGCTCATGCGCGCGCCGCTCAGGTTGTTTCAGGCCAGTACTCTTATTCAAAACTGTGACGTCACACTCAAAAGTGTGTCACATTGCTTAGAACATCATGTCACACTCGTTACTTTACCCTTATGCCTCGCTCTGCCATCACGGGGACGGGGGCTAAGTGCTTGGTGGGTATAGCCCCGCTATAACAAATATTACACAGAATTCCAACTAATGTGACATGAAACGAGTCACACGAAACAACAGCGAGGAGAAAAATTTGACTCGGTACTGTTTTTCTTTTATTAAAGTTACGTACACAATCGCGTGCTGGCAGGCTTTTCTACCGCCACTAAACGAGGCGTCTTTAAGCCGCCGAGGAAGTAGGCAACCCATCCACATTTCTGAGTTTGGTCAAATACAACTTACAAAACAGTACGAGCGGACAGGGACACCCTGCAGGACTGGGGGTGTGTGGTCTGGGGTGGACGAGTCTTCGATGTATAGCTCTTGGATACACAACTGCCCCCGAGTTGTGGATCTGTTTGGTCTAGCCTAGCTCCCTCTCCCTCCCACACTGACCCTTGAGAGAGAATCTGGCAGCTTGTTTGAGCGACACGCTCTGGCTTTTACGCGCGCGCAGACACTCGAGACGGGGGAGATGCGATGAACCGAGGGGCCGATAGAGTGGCGGGCCAGCGCGGGTGCTTGAGAGTGACGCCTCTCGGAAGGGGCAGAGTAGTTGGACAGACGAGGTTCTGATGTCCTAGAGGGTGCGGGGGTGGGCCAGCGCCAGCGCCGCCCCTAATGTGTGGTTTGTGCAGGTCCACGCTCTCTCCGACGGGAACACGCATCCTCGCCTTTGCTCTGCTGGCTGTCCCCCCTGGCCGGCTCCGCTGTGCGCTGCGCTCCCACCCACCAGCACCGCCGGCCCTCCCCGAGGCTGGCTGGGGAGAGAGCGGCCTACGGCACGGGCCACGGGCCGGGCACGGGGATCGATGCAGTACAGGACATGGGCGCGCC